ATGCAGTCCTCCCAGGTTTACATCGACCAATCCGCAGAGGGGTCCAAGTTTGTTAAGACCGAGAAAAGAAAGAAGTCATCAGAAAGAAGACCGAATCAGCTGCCCCCCACCAGAGAGGGAGTGGTGGAGGGGGCCGAGTCCAGCCAGGAAGTGGAGGGCCGTAGAAGCAGCAGTAGCTCCAGCGGGGAGTCGGCCGGATCCAGGAAGAGGCCCACATGGATGGGCAGCCCACCCGACTCTGTTCTCAACCAGGAGAAAGAGACCAGACCTGTGGAGGCGACAGGGACTGGGGCTCAGGCTACAGCCCAGGAGGAGAGCCCCTCCCAGGGTCTGCGCTGGGGGAGACTCTTTGGATCCACTCTTGGTTCTCCTTCCAGGGCGGTGGCGGCTGAACAGAAAGCAAAAACTCAAAAAAACAGGTAAGTAAAAAGGATAATCTTATGACAATCAATATTTTGTAAAAAAAAACAACAACAATTGATTCAATGAATGTGTGAATCCGGAGTATGATAAAATGAATCTAATTGTTATTTTATTCTGGTGAAACATTTTGTGATCTTGCTCTGTGAGCTCCCCAAAATAGTCCCTTACTAAAATGCACTAATTTCAAATGTTTGAGGCACTGAGCCTTTAAAAAAAAGAAAAAACATACTGTATTTTCTTTTTCTGTTTTAAGAGATATATTCATTAGAAACTAAGGGACTTGGGGAAAACAGAAAGTATTAAGAGCGAGATTAACCCTTTGTTGGTTTGAGTCTTTTAATGGAATTTGTTCCCTATAATATAAAAAACATGAATAACATCAGCCTTCTGGTTAAACCAAAACCAACCTTTATTTCAGCTATCAATACAATAACTTACATTTTTCCACATTGTTTTTTTTCTCAGGCCTCCATCAGGATGGTTTTCTCTGGACAGATCTGTTTTTGACCTAGTAGCTCAGACGATTGGAGCCGGGAGTGGAAAGAAGGCGGAGCCTCCGTCCACACAATCCTCACCTCCACCTCCACCAACGTCAACCCCTCCTCCTGAAGCCAGACAAAATTCTCCATGGTGAGCAGAGAATAAACATCTTGCACTGTTTTCACACTTAATGAGAGAGCTATAAGAAAAATGTAATACAAAACAACTTTTCAAGAACCTACTTATCAACCCCCATTTATTCATTACGGTTCTTCAAATGTAAGGACCTGGTTTAAAAAACACAAAGCATGTAAATGCAGGCTTGCGGCGTCCTGGCAGACCTGGACGAATTCCACAGGGAGTTTCCCTCCCCCTGCCTACTTCCACTACATTATGACATCACTACGTAAAATGTTTGCGCTTGTATTGGCTAGCGTTCCTACACATTGTACTTGATATGTTAAGGTACGGGACATATTTCAGCGGTTGACCAATCACAACAGAGCGGGCCAGCTAACCAATCACAGCAGACTGGGCTCTGGTTTTAGACAGAGGGTGAAAAGAGGTGCTGCAGCACAGGCAGTATGAGAAGAATAAAGACCTTTTTGGAACAATAAAGCATTTAAACATGTCACAGTAGAGGTAACTTTCACATAAGATAACAAGACAGAGCAAATCTCAGAAATGAGAAGCTACAACAAAGGACCATTTGGTAGTAAGTTGCTTTAAAGATTGTCACCAGTCTAACAGATTTCCTCCATGCTGTGTCATCCCTCAGTGAAGTACGAGCGCTGTGTCACCACATCGCCACCGAGCCCGGACAGCTGAGCTTCAACAAAGGAGACATCCTGCGGGTCCTGAGCAAGGCTGACCCAGACTGGCTGCTGTGCTCCCTGGGCTCCATGCAGGGCCTAGTCCCCATCATCTATGTCACCCTGAAGAGCATGGAGGACAGCCAGGAGGCCACCGGACTTGGGCGGTGCTGAATCAACGAGAGGAATTAATGCGATATGTTTGGACAGCCACACACCCAATGAAACAAAACCTGTTTTTCGCGGATAACTGTATATTTATTTGGGGTGATTCCTGAAAAAGAAAATATGTACAGACACATGCAAGGGAAGCATGCAAGCTGAAAAACTTCAAGGGTACATCCTGACAAGTATGCATGCATACATCCATAAACCAAAAGCTGGACAAGAAAAACCCAAAGACACTCTGACGTGAAGCTAGCTTAACCGTGACTGTCTGGTGTCAAAATCATCATAGGAGAGGCTAATCACAGATATACACAATATATGATAATATAACATGCCTAGCTGCACTCTGCTGTACTGTCTGTACGCTCACCTCGCTGTGCCACACTCATGTAGAAACCTGTGGATCCTTGCTTTTTTTTGGTAAGGTGGTTGTAAAAGAAAAAAAAGGTGTCTGCTTCAGTTGCATAGATTCACCATATTATTATTCATATAAGCCAAGAAGAAAAGGAGGCAAAAGTTGTAATGTTTTTTTAATTTTACATTATTTGATCAAAGCCTATATCATGACAAAGGGATAGATAGAGCTTCATTTCCATACAAGACTCACTACAGCTGTGATGAATTGATGGCTGATATTGTTTAAATGCATGTGACCTTACAAAATCGTTATCCCTTCAATCTAGTTACACCACAATCCCCCATCATCCAAGGACACTTCTGAAGAGCGAGTGGCTGCAGTCCGAGTGCATTCGATCTAACGGTACATACTGTAAATGCATATATGACTTCCACATGTGGTAATTTATTTATTTTTCAATAAGCAGAGAGGAGCATCCTGCAGAAAGACAGGGAAGGATGTCCAATGAAAGCAAAAGCATTGCTGAGGAGGCCTTTTTTTTAATGTGTTAGGGATACAGCCCTGAAAATGATTGCTAATTAGTTTTATGCGTTGCATTTAAAGAGGGGTAAATTATCTTATCTATGCCTTAAAGCGCTTGAGGAAAGAAAAGGGAGAATATACATTATATTTTGTATATGCTATGAAGTGACATTTCCCCCTGATTTACGTCTAAGGAGATTCTTTAGAAAGAAAAGTATAGAGATGATAGCGAGGGGATATTTTTGTGTCGTTTAAAGGGAAACCCCAACACATTTTGTGATGGTGGTAAATGCCCAGGAATAAAATGCTGCCTTAGGTTACAAAGTCACCTAAAATGATGGTGAGTGTATACAGATGCCCAATCCAAATACTTCACAATATAAAATGGTAAAAAAAAATCAGTGTACATTTATTAAATAAATGAATGCTTGTGTAGTTTTTGAAAAACTTACATAGGATATAATTGTTCCATTTAACATTTCTTTGTGTTCTTTTTTTGTACAGTCTTATTCTAAGCACTAAAAAAATGCATCCTACTGTATAATAAAATCCTTTAGAGCTACATGTATGAATGGTATTACTGGGTTAATGCATTTTATGTTAAATAAATGTTTAGCTTCTGTGCTAACAACCATAATGACAGCCGACATTGGAAGGTGTGAAGATTATTTTGGGTTCTTCCAGGCAGTTTGCTGTTCATTGACATCCTGTTCAGAGTTCACTTGGAAACAAACGCAGCAGTGAAAAAAAACAAACATGGAAGCTCAGGGGAAAGAGGTGAAGACGGATTGACTTTTTATTTGGCGTTTTCTTAGCTAAATTGTTGTGCTCTGCAGAGAGAAAGAAAGAAATAAGTCTCTGGCCATTTTCCTTTCTTTCTGTTGTTTTTATCTACTTCCTCTCTCCTCCCTGGCTGCCTGTAAATACCTCCAGCATCAGTGACACTGCTCCTCTCTCTCTGTCCAGGCTATATGACATTATCAAACTAATATGGATGTTAAATAACAAAGTGCTCAACTGAAAAGGCTCCTGTCTTTTGTCCTTGAATGATGAAATGACTGTAAAAAGGTTTGTAGTTTGCTGCATTAAAGAAATAGTGGATTACCAGAACATCTGTAGAACGATTTCAAGCTTATTTTTTTGTAAAACACAATCCTTTCATTGGTCAGAATATCTCTTTTCTAGGACACTTAAAATAACTGCAAACTTGAATGTGAATTGAGAAGAACGCATAGTGTGCCAATTTGCACACTTCTATTTGTGTTGATTAAAAATGTATTTCTTAATAAACAAAAACACACAGCTCTCCCTCAAATGTTCACAATTTGCATTTGTTCTGATGTTGCAGCACAAGAATGAAGTTGAAGTACATGAAGACAGCTAGCTAACGTTACAGTAGCTCTCCAGCTAGCTAACGTTAGCTCTTCAGCTGTTACATAGTGGACTGGCTTCATATATTAATTTTTAATAGATGTGTTCTCATTAACGTTACCATTAGCAAGAAACAGATTGATAATATATATCTAATAAAGTGATGACAGCATCATAATTATCAATGCTGTTAGCATGGTGGCTAACTAACAATCGACATGAAGTTGTTCAAATATGAGTAGGCCCATGTAATGCAGCAAGAACATACATTGAAAATAGTTAATGTTTAAACTGTGGTGACACGTTATGGGACATAATTCACCGTTGAGATTATTGTGTTGCAACCCGGACCCGTTAGTGAGGGTACCGGGGTTTGGTGTCATTCATGCTAGCTTGACATACAGAGCAGCAAGTGTACTTACCTTGTCTTGATTATTAATGGATAATAAATTGTGGAGTTCCATACTGAACACACCGCCTCTGACTCCCTTTCATCGGCTCTACACTGGTGACCCTGACGTTTTCGTGAAAGTTTCCGAAGACTTAATGAACATGGCTGATCGCGATGTTTTTGTTAAACTGCCGAGTTTTGGGAGCATGCTGCTGCGGCGTGGTTCGCACACGTGGAGGCACACTTTGCCTGCCGACAAGTCCGTGACGGGGACTTGAAATATTTCCACGTGGTAGCAGCGCTGGGAAGCTCCACGTCATCCAGGTTGGTGGGATTTATCGCAGACCCCCCACACCATGGCAAATATGAGGTGATTAAGGCCCTTCTCCTTAAGACATTTAGCTTATCTGCTTAGGAGAGGGCCCGCCAGATTCTTAACATTCAAGGCCTAGGAGACAGCAAACCATCTCAGCTCATGGAGAAAATGCTGAATCTGCTAGGGGGGGAAGATCCCCGAATTTTGTTTATGGAGACGTTCCTGCGCCACTTGCCTTCCCGGGTTCAGACGGCGCTAGCCAACACGTCCATTACGGAGCCCCGCGCCTTGGCTGAAGAGGCCGACCTTTTTTTCCTGGCTACCCAGCAGTCCGGTGCAGAGGCGCTAGCTGTGACGCTCAGCGCCCCCTCAACAGTTAAGAAGGCTTGGGGGAGGCTGGACGCGACGGTGCCAAGCCGGCGTGGAGACACAGGAGAGTGTTCTTACCACGCGCGGTTCGGGGGCCAGAGCAAAGAAGTGTATCGCTCCCTGCAGTTACAAACCTCCGGGAAACGGGGGAGCCGGCGCTCAGTAGTGGCCCTGAGCGTTGGCGACACGAGCAGGCTTCTCTTCGTTAGCGACAGAGTCTCGGGAAGCTTGTTTCTGTGTGACACGGGCGATCAACGGAGTGTGGTTCCTGCGTCGAGGGAAGACGTCGCTCGTGGGGGACACGGACCGCGGTTGACGACGGCTAATGGCGGCCCCATTCGCACGTACGGCGTGAGGCCTATGTGTTTGTGTATTGGAGGACAGCGGTTCAACTGGGATTTTGTGACGGCAGACATTTATTTTCCCCTCCTCGGGGCAGATTTTTTATGTGCTCACGGACTCCTGATGGACGTTAAAAATAAACGCTTGGTTGATGCCTTGACGTTTTCCTCCCTCGTGTGTACGCTTGGCAAGGCGGCGTAGGCAAGGCGGCGTAGGCAAGGCGGCGGCTGTCGGGCTCGCTGTCGGGCTCGCTGTCGGGGGCGGACACTTTTCTCAGGCTGTTGGCTGAATTTTCAGACCTGACGCTGCCCACCTTCTCTGCGCTCACCACCAAGCATGGGGTGGAGCACCACGTCACCACTGAAGGTCCCCCAGTCTACGCCAGGGCCTGGCGGTTGAACCCTTCTAAGCTTGCAGTAGAGAGGGTGGAGTTTTCGACCATGGAACGCCTGGGTATCGTCCGCCGGTCTGACAGTCCTTGGGCCTCTCCTCTGCACGTCGTTCCCAAGCCGAACGGTGGTTGGCGCCCATGTGGGGATTACCGCCGCCTCAACGACGCCACGACACCTGACCGCTACCCGGTGCTGCACATTCAGGACTTTTCTGCATATCTGGCCGGTACGCTGGTGTTTTCTAAAGTGGACCTGGTGCGTGGTTACCACCAGGTGCCCATGCATCCCCTGGACGTTGCCAAGACGGCAGTGATAACGCCGTTTGGACTTTTCGAGTTCCTGCGGATGCCTTTTGGGCTCAAGAATGCCGCTCAAACGTTCCAACACCTGATGGATTCGGTGCTGCGGGACTTACCGTTTGTGTTCGTCTACCTGGACGACATACTCGTAGCCAGCGCTTCGGTGGAAGAGCACCTGTCCCACCTCCGAGCCCTTTTCACGCAACACACTCTCACTCCCTAAGCGTCCAGGAGCGACGCTTGGTCAGGGTCCCGTCGGCGTCGGTATTTGACGCTTAGGGAAGCACGGCATTCGTTTGTGTCGGAGGCTGTTAAAGGCAATGTGAGCGTCCATTCCCATTGGATAACGGAGAATTGTACACCCGGAAGTAAGTATTCCCCTTACTGTCGATTGATTTGACAGTGATATCTCCACTACTCATCAACTCAAAAACACCAGATTATCCTTGTTAATTAAACGACATTGATAGGTTTTAGTGTGTGTACAATGCTTTTGTCATGTTTTCCCCTTCAATTCTGAGAAACAAGTCGTTTTCTATGAGTTTTGGATGGCCGAAGACATTACATTACCCACAATCCTCTGTAGCAACCATAGACTGTATACAAAAATTAAATAATACATTATTCCGAGTGTGCTTGCTTTTCTCTTTGAAAGTCATCACATAACGGTATTGTAATACACGTTTCGGCTGCATTAAATATGACATATCTGCCGTAGTTAACTCTGCCCTGATGACAAGACTTCTAGACAAACAGGAATTGCCGCCAAAACTGAAAACTTGACGTGGATCTTAAATATATAAGCAATTAAACAACATCTTACATTTCTTTTCACACAATACGTCTCTTTGCATTGTCAACACTAATTCGGCTGACTTTTATATTTGATCCAATTTGTAGATAGGCTGTATTTACACCATAACGGTGCACAGCTGATAGAAAGGGACACCTACTGGTTAAAGCACGTTATTGCATTTTATAATTGTATTATTAGATATTAATAGGATCCCTATAAAGTATATTCTTTACTCGTCGTTATTCTCTACTAATAGTTAATTAAAGACTGTATATAATGACTATTTTGCACATCCCATTCAAGATTTCAAGATTTTCTAAGGTTTATTGACATTAAAGACTGTATATAATGACTATTTTGCACATCCCTTTCAAGATTTCAAGATTTTCTAAGGTTTATTGACATATCATATTATACACAACTACGGTGTAGTTATGCAATGAATGAAAAACTTCGGGTCGCAGGTTCCTCAACAGTGCATTACAAGACATCTATCAATATGTGTGTACCTGTGTGTAAATATTTTAGGTGGGGCTGTGGAAATGGTGATCAAACAATACTAGAGGGGTCCGGGGGGATGCTCCCCCGGTAATTTTTTTGAGAAAAGACCCCTTAAATCATGACTTCTGGTGATGTTAGAGGGGTGGAGAAGGACAATTTGAGGCTTAAAAATATGAGAAGACTGATCAATACCTCCATAACTTCAGTGTGGTTAGCTATGAATCTTCCAAAACTTCCAAACACCTTGTCCTGGACATAGTTTCTACAGCATAAACTGTGCAACAGTACAGTAGGCCCACACAAACTGCAGAACACCGGGGCTTTGGGAACACTGATTTAATTCCCATTTAACCTGTTAAGGGGCTTTTTCCCCCCGTTTTTTTTCTCACGAAACTGTGTCTCAGGGCTTCTTAAAATGTAATAAACTATTCATGTGTCCTACTCAGAGGAAACGCATCTAACTGATGATATGAACCATGTTTACCGAAACAAAACACAAGTCTCACAAGAAGCGTCTAAATGAGCCCTGAGCGAAAAAATGCTAACGCACTCTAGGTATAAATCAATCGATATACTTATCGGATATGCACAAACAAGCTTACAAACTGAGATTCTACATATTCTAGAAATATAAGTATCATCACTGAGCGATCAGAACTCGCGACAGGGGAAGCAAATACAGACATCACACGACGTAGCTTTAGGTAGAAAAACATGGAGATATGCTCACCTTTTGCAGAATAACAATTCTGATCAAAAACGAGAAAAACGCAGCTGAAGGTTAATCCATAGGTTAATCCAATGTGTCTGTCACTTTGAAAAATGATTGATGATCCATAATTCCATTTTTATGTCAAAAACGGAGTTTTCATTAGCTGCTAATGGTAGCTTCCAGAGTGTATGACAGCTTCCTGTTTTGTCTCCTTGGATACCAGTCCAAACAACTCACAGACTGCACCCATGGATGTATAATAGAGTGGCGAAGTCACGCCCACTTACTTCCGGGTAATGGGACCTTATTTCGGAAAAATTATGCATTGAAGTCAATGAGGAGAGAAAACTTATCTTTCGATCCCGTTTGAATTGTGCCATGAATTACACATATGATGTTTGTCAATCTTAAAAAATCATTTCCATGTCAAAAAAGTCACAGTTTGTCGTAAAACTGTTGAAATATAAGACTATGAAAAATACGTAACTAGAAAGACTACAAATCCCAAGTGATGTCACAATTGAGACACTACGATATACGTATAATACCGTATATATACGATCAGCGCCATATAGATAGAATCTATCTATATGGTGCTGGCTAAGATAAGATAACTTTCACAAGATGCCTGTGTGCTTAGTACCAGGTTGTTATTATACCAGCAATGGGTCTTGCTCGTTCTTTTGCTTCCCGTCTGATGAAAGAGGAGTGTGTGGATCAAGCTAGCTAGTAGCTAGCACGTTAGTTAGCATTACAGCCTTGTCATTTTTATTAGCCTTAACATGAAGTAACATGAAGTAACCCACAATGTTAAACAGTAAGAGTAGTAGTCATATTTCGTGAACCCTTTGAAGAATACTGTCACCGGTGTGATCATTCTATAATACACAATTTAAGCCCGGGGGAGAAATGCTAACGCTAACGCTAGCGATCTTCTCTACTTCATGCTATCTGCACAAATGGTTGACATTAAACATTAAAACGACCAGGCAGTTCAGAGAGAATCAAAGGAAGGCAGGCAGGCAGCTTTGCATGACATTCTTCAGGACGTGTTTCATTGTGGTGATAGTGAGTAGTCAATCGTTGTGTTGACAAGACAGTACTGACGGCCATCTTGGTGACGTGTGTTGTTGTGCGAGACCAGAGATGTAGTTCATTGAGCGTTTCACACAAACAAATGTGTTACTTCACAGTTTTACGACACATTTTTTTTTTTTGACTTGCAAAATTATCTTTTAAATTGACAAACAACATATGTGTAATTCGTGGCACAATTCAAACGGGATCGAAAGATAATCTTTCTCTCTCCATTGACTTCAATACATAATTTTTCCGAAATAAGGTCCCATGGAGGTCCACCGGAAGGGGAGGGACTTCGCCACTCTATAAGAACTGGATACAGCGTGGGAGGCGGGGCCTCATTCATTCCTATGAGAGTTGCTCATTCGCGCATGATGATAAAATGGCCCAACTTTTGAGAGAGCGAAACGTCACAGATTACCCGGCATGCCTGAGAAGTACCCGTATGTGCGCTCATAGCGCATGCGCAACTTTAACCATGCCCCCCAAAATGCTCGTTCACATCAAGCACGTCAATTTGCATACACATAACAGCACCGCACGTTCATGACAGCATGGTAATGGTTTGTTATTATGATAGATTTGATATTAACGAGGCAGCAGTTAGCAGCTAGCGGTTAGCTAGTAATTATGCTAATTTACACATCAATCGTTATGTACTTTTATATTACGCTGTAACAGGATCTAGTGATATCCAAGCAACAGAGCTTCATTTAGCATGAAAGAATTATTGCACTGTATATATATATATACGTGTATATATATACAGTGCAATAAGCTTCTTAGTGCAATAAGAAGCTACAGTGACGTTAATCTACGTCGGTAATATTAACTTTATTTAATACAACATTTACGGTACAAGATTTAATCATACAGCCCATGTAGTATAATATTTTACAAATGATGAATTACAGCAAACATGTGCAATATATCCATTATTACAGCTCCGTGGGCTTGCAGTAAGGCGATATGGGTCCGTTCTTGTTGTACATCCATGGGTAAAGATAAACGCATGTACTAGTGCTGAACACGTAACATGAACGTGCCGGGCGGCGCGGTCCCGTGGGTTAGATGCGCGTTCATAATGCAGAGGGAAATAACTCTCAGAATAACGTTATTAGCACATTTTTACAACTTGAGGAACGAATGTTTTTAATAAGGGCTATACAAGTGTTCATACTGGGTAGTTTATTTAGTTTAAAAAAAATTATCCAACGATTTACAGACCACTCTTTCCCCATGTAAGTCAATGGGAAAAAGTGTTTCCGGGCCTGGCAACCAAAAGGAAGTGTAGTACCGCCGTTTGGCCAGCACGAATATTTTCATCAGAGTCCGGCGCACTTCCTGGGGGCTTGACTGCACCGGGCGCTCACGTAGGAGCCCTGTGACCATCATATTTGACGACGCTGATTGGCTGAAATTATGTTTTCGCGGCATAGTTTACACGTTACAGATAGCAACAGTCAGTTGCTAGTGGCTGCTGCTGCACTGGTTGAGGGCTCCTCTCTTAGCGCCCAGACGAGAGAAGGTACACGGGCAAGGCCAGGCAGGAAACATGTGACTTATCAGTAACTTTAGACATCGTAACACAATTTTAAACGAGATTTTATTGTAGATTATACATTTTACTGATACCAATTATATAATATTTACCTTGTTCATTAAAAATAAAAATAAAAATATATATATTTTTTTAAATATATTTTTTATTTTTATTTTTATTTTTATTTTTATTTTTTAATATGGGAAGAGGTGGGGCGGCGCCCCTATGGACCGGCCGCCACTGCCTCCACCATTACATTGTCATATTTCTTATACTATCTACATACATCTTATAAGAGTATAATACATATGTATAATATCAGTTAAAATAAGTGCTTAAACATAGTTAACATGGCAGGAAAGCAATATATTAGACGTTAAGTACTTTGTCAGGCTTAATATTTATCTGTAGATTGTGGTGATTGACATTATCCACCCACAGATCTATGGGTTGGGGTATTGTTCCGCACGGACATTTTAGTGAACCGGACTTTCTGTTTCCGCCGGTCTTCGCTTCCCGGGCATGAAGTTGTTTACATGTGAGTTCAGATGCTAAATAAAAGTCTATCTTGTTCTTTTGATACCCCGCCTCCGACTCCCGTCTCTCGGCACCACATTGGTGACCCCTACGTAAGTCTCGTTGAAGGATCCGAGACTGTTCCGAACATGGCAAATAACGCCGTTTTTTTCAAACTGCCGGAGTTTTGGGAGACATCTGCGGCTGCATGGTTCACTCAGGCGGAGGCTCAGTTCGCCCTCCGCGGAGTTACTGATGACGCAGCGCGCTATTTTCACGTCGTTTCGGCGCTGGGGAGCTCCACTGCGACCCGGACGGTGGGCTTTATCACATTGACATTTGTCAATGTCGACCTCGCAGGTCCGCTTCCCCCCTCTCTCGGTTTCACCTACCTGTTTACGATGGTGGACAGGACGACCCGCTGGCCCGAGGCCGTTCCCCTCACCTCAACGTCAGCTTCCGACGTCGCCCGCGCTTTCATCGGCACGTGGGTGGCGCGCTTCGGGACCCCGTCTGACCTCTCCTCTGACCGCGGTTCTCAGTTCACCTCGGAGCTGTGGAACGCTGTTGCTGTGGGTTTGGGGGTCAAGCTGCACCGCACCACCGCTTATCACCCCCAGGCTAACGGATTGTGTGAGCGGTTTCACCGATCCATGAAGGCGTCGCTGCGTGCCGGCTTGACAGACGGCAACTGGGTGGATAAGCTCCCATGGGTTATGCTCGGCCTCAGGTGTGCCCCCAAAGAAGACCTGCAGTCCTCGTCGGCGGAGCTCGTTTATGGCCAGACGCTACGGGTCCCCGGGGAATTCATTCCCACCGCCACTGTGCCCTGGTCTGCGGCCGGGCAGCGCTCCTCCCTGCTGGAGGACCGCCGGGACATTCGCGCCCGTCCCCACGTCGCAGCACAGCAGCCCAGCTTTCCGGGTGTCCCCCGGATTACGGTCAGCGGATTTCGTTTTTATTCGCCACGACGCCCACCGCGGCCCCCTGCGGCCCCCTTACGACGGTCCGTTCAGGGTCATACGTCACGGGGACAAGAGCCTGGTGGTGGACGTTGGTGGCAGGCCTGAGACTGTGTCCGTTGATCGGGTTAAGCCTGCTCACGTGGACGTTTCCAGGCCGTTGGAGTTGGCTCTGCCCCCACGTCGGGGCCGCCCTCCCATGGCCCGCCCCCCGCCCCCTGTGGGGATGCCCTCGCCCTCGTTGGCGCCCCTGCCCCTGCCCTCGCCTGCGGCCCCGCCCTCCTCGGCCCCTGTGGTCCGTACGCGCCGGGGTCGGGTGGTACTTCCTCCCAGGCACGAGGATTTTGACTATGGGTGAATTCTGGGGGGGCTTGTGTGGTGATTGACATTATCCACCCACAGATCTATGGGTTGGGGTATTGTTCCGCACGGACATTTTAGTGAACCGGACTTTCTGTTTCCGCCGGTCTTCGCATGAAGTTGTTTACATGTGAGTTCAGATGCTAAATAAAAGTCTATCTTGTTCTTTTGATACCCCGCCTCCGACTCCCGTCTCTCGGCACCACATTGGTGACCCCTACGTAAGTCTCGTTGAAGGATCCGAGACTGTTCCGAACATGGCAAATAACGCCGTTTTTTTCAAAACTGCCGGAGTTTTGGGAGACATCTGCGGCTGCATGGTTCACTCAGGCGGAGGCTCAGTTCGCCCTCCGCGGAGTTACTGATGACGCAGCGCGCTATTTTCACGTCGTTTCGGCGCTGGGGAGCTCCACTGCGACCCGGACGGTGGGCTTTATCACATTGACATTTGTCAATGTCGACCTCGCAGGTCCGCTTCCCCCCTCTCTCGGTTTCACCTACCTGTTTACGATGGTGGACAGGACGACCCGCTGGCCCGAGGCCGTTCCCCTCACCTCAACGTCAGCTTCCGACGTCGCCCGCGCTTTCATCGGCACGTGGGTGGCGCGCTTCGGGACCCCGTCTGACCTCTCCTCTGACCGCGGTTCTCAGTTCACCTCGGAGCTGTGGAACACTGTTGCTGTGGGTTTGGGGGTCAAGCTGCACCGCACCACCGCTTATCACCCCCAGGCTAACGGATTGTGTGAGCGGTTTCACCGATCCATGAAGGCGTCGCTGCGTGCCGGCTTGACAGACGGCAACTGGGTGGATAAGCTCCCATGGGTTATGCTCGGCCTCAGGTGTGCCCCCAAAGAAGACCTGCAGTCCTCGTCGGCGGAGCTCGTTTATGGCCAGACGCTACGGGTCCCCGGGGAATTCATTCCCACCGCCACTGTGCCCTGGTCTGCGGCCGGGCAGCGCTCCTCCCTGCTGGAGACCGCCGGGACATTCGCGCCCGTCCCCACGTCGCAGCACAGCAGCCCAGCTTTCCGGGTGTCCCCCGGATTACGGTCAGCGGATTTCGTTTTTATTCGCCACGACGCCCACCGCGGCCCCCTGCGGCCCCCTTACGACGGTCCGTTCAGGGTCATACGTCACGGGGACAAGAGCCTGGTGGTGGACGTTGGTGGCAGGCCTGAGACTGTGTCCGTTGATCGGGTTAAGCCTGCTCACGTGGACGTTTCCAGGCCGTTGGAGTTGGCTCTGCCCCCACGTCGGGGCCGCCCTCCCATGGCCCGCCCCCCGCCCCCTGTGGGGATGCCCTCGCCCTCGTTGGCGCCCCTGCCCCTGCCCTCGCCTGCGGCCCCGCCCTCCTCGGCCCCTGTGGTCCGTACGCGCCGGGGTCGGGTGGTACTTCCTCCCAGGCACGAGGATTTTGACTATGGGTGAATTCTGGGGGGGCTTGTGTGGTGATTGACATTATCCACCCACAGATCTATGGGTTGGGGTATTGTTCCGCACGGACATTTTAGTGAACCGGACTTTCTGTTTCCGCCGGTCTTCGCATGAAGTTGTTTACATGTGAGTTCAGATGCTAAATAAAAGTCTAGCTTGTTCTTTTGATACCCCGCCTCCGACTCCCGTCTCTCGGCACCACAAGATACAAATTTCACTGTGTGTGCTGTGTGCTCTGCATGTGTGACCATCAAAGAGGGTTTCATCCCTCCATATTCATCTTCTATACCCCCAAAGCTTTTTTCTTATTCAAAAGAAGACCTTAACCTAAAGTATTCTTTAATGTTTAAATAAAGCCTTATTAGTTTGTCTGTTTTGCACATCCTCCTATTAATATCTAATAATAAAATTATAAAATGCAATAAACGTGCTTTAACCAGTAGGTGTCCCTTTCTATCAGCTGTGCACCGTTATGGCGTAAATACAGCCTATCTACCAATTGGATCAAATATAAAAGTCAGCCGAATTAGTGTTGATACTGCAAGGAGACGTATTGTGTGAAAAGAAATGTAAGATGTTTAATTGCTTATATATTTAAGATCCACGTCAAGTTTTCAGTTTTGGCGGCAGTTCCTGTTTGTCTAGAAGTCTTGTCATCAGGGCAGAGTTAACTACGGCAGATATGTCATATTTAATGCAGCCGAAACGTGTATTACAATGCCGTTATGTGATGACTTTCAAAAAGTAAAGCAAGCACACTCGGAATAATGTATTATGTAATTGTTTTATACAGTCTATGGTTGCTACAGAGGATTGTGGGTAATGTAATGTCTTCGGCCATCCAAAACTCATAGAAAACGACTTGTTTCTCAGAATTGAAGGGGAAAACGTGACAAAAGCATTGTACACAGACTAAAACCTATCAATGTCGTTTAATTAACAAGGATAATCTGGTGTTTTTGAAGAGAAAAGCAAGCACACTCGGAATAATGTATTATTTAATTTTTGTATACAGTCTATGGTTGCTACAGAGGATTGTGGGTAATGTAATGTCTTCGGCCATCCAAAACTCATAGAAAACGACTTGTTTCTCAGAATTGAAGGGGAAAACGTGACAAAAGCATTGTACACACACTAAAACCTATCAATGTCGTTTAATTAACAAGGATAATCTGGTGTTTTTGAGTTGATGAGTAGTGGAGATATCACTGTCAAATCAATCGACAGTAAGGGGAATACTTACTTCCGGGTGTACAATTCTCCGTTATCCAATGAGAATGGACGCTCACATTGCCTTTAACAGCCTCCGACACAAACGAATGCCGTGCTTCCCTAAGCGTCAAATAGCGACGCCGATAGGAATACATTGCAATCAGTTGAAAGCTCTTTGCGTCCGTTTATGAAGCTGAAGGAGCCTCGGCGCGTCACAACTGGACGCCACGGGACCCTGACCAAGCGTCGCTCCTGGACCCTTAGGGAGTGAGAGTGTGTTGTTTCACGAGGCTCAGCCAACACGGGTTGATTATCAACCCTGCAAAGTGCCAGTTCGGGGTGTTTGACATTGACTTCCTTGGACACCGCGTCACCAAAGGCGGTGCAGCACCCCTGCCGGCGAAGGTTGAGGCTGTTGCGGCGTTTCCTCGCCCGCTCACAGCCCGGTCGCTCCGTGAGTTCCTGGGGATGGTGACTTTCTACCACCGTTTCATCGCCCGGGCCGCCCACATTATGCGGCCGCTGTATGAGGCTTTGAAGGGTAAGACCCCCATCCAGGCGATCGACTGGACGGCGGAAGCTGAGGTTGCTTTTACGGAGGTCAAGACTGCGTTGGCTCAGGCGGCCCTGTTGGCGCACCCATCATCCACGGCTCCCATCTCCATTACCACAGACGCATCGGACTACGCCGTTGGTGCGGTGCACGAGCAGTGGGTGGAGGGCGCTTGGCAGCCACTTGCCTTTTTCAGCCGTCAGCTGACGCCCAGGGAATGCAGGTACAGCGCCTTTGACCGAGAGCTCCTTGGACTCTGGCTGGCCGTGCGGCACTTCTGTTTTTTACTGGATGGCCGTGAATTTACGGCGTTTGTCGACCACAAGCCGCTCACGTTCGCCATGTCAAAAGTGGCGGAGCCTTGGTCTGCACGTCAGCAGCGGCAGCTGTCTTACATCTCGGAGTTCACCACAGACATTAAACACGTGGCTGGCAAATCGAACCTGGTCGCAGATTGCCTCTCCAGGGTCGTCATCGGGCCGTCCAGTTGGGCCTGGACTATACCCGCATGGCGACGGACCAGGTCACGGACCCCGGCGTACAGGCCCTGAAGGAGGATAGCTTGGGGCTGCGCTTGGAAGACGTAGTTTTCGGTGACGCGGGCGTTACTCTCCTGTGCGACGTCTCCACAGGCCTGCCACGGCCAGTCGTTCCCGCCAGTTGGAGGCGCTCCGTTTTTGAGGCGGTGCACGACCTGTGGGTATGTCGGTTTGGCACCCCGTCCGACATTTCCTCGGACCGGGGTTCGCAGTTCACGTCTGAGCTCTGGAACGCCGTGGCGTGTGGTTTGGGAGTTAAGCTTCACAGGACAACCGCTTATCACCCTCAGGCTAACGGCCTCTGTGAACGTTTCCATCGCTCCATGAAGGCAGCACTCAGAGCCGGCCTGAAGGACGGCAATTGGGTTGACAAGCTGCCTTGGGTAATGCTGGGCCTGAGGACCGCGCCTAAGGAAGACCTGCAGTGTTCCACGGCTGAGATGGTCTACGGTCAGCCGCTGAGGGTTCCAGGGGATTTCCTCCCTAACGCATCGGCTCCCTGGTCGGCGTCGGCGCAGCGGGTTTGCCTGCAAGACGCCGCTGAGATTTTTGCTCTGATTCCTACTGCTCAACATGGTACCCAGGTGTCCCGGGTTCCCGCGGATCTCCGCTCGGCAGAGCACGTCTTCATCCGGCACGATGCGCACAGGGGTCCCCTACGGCCTCCTTACGATGGACCTTTCCGGGTTTTGGAACACGGGGACAAACACCTTGTGGTCGACCTGGGTGGTAAGGCCGAGCACGTCTCGGTGGACCGGGTGAAGGCGGCCCATTTGGATTTGGGCCAGCCGGTGGTGCTGGCACGACCTCTGCAACGGGGGCGCCTGCCGGCCTTGATCCCTGTCACTGATTTGAGACCCGTTGTTCCGGTCTCGCCTCTTCCGGAGGCCGCCAATGCAGAGGTCGTTTTTCCGGCTCCCGTGCTCAGGAGTCGTGGGGGTCGACCTGTCGTTCCTCCCCGCCACGCTGACTTTGTTTATGGGTGAATTCTGGGGGGGCTTGTGTGGTGACACGTTATGGGACATAATTCACCGTTGAGATTATTGTGTTGCAACCCGGACCCGTTAGTGAGGGTACCGGGGTTTGGTGTCATTCATGCTAGCTTGACATACAGAGCAGCAAGTGTACTTACCTTGTCTTGATTATTAATGGATAATAAAGTGTGGAGTTCCATACTGAACACACCGCCTCTGACTCCCTTTAATCGGCTCTACAAAACTACTTTTAATGTATGTGCTTGCAAAATACAATACATTCTTTAAATTAAAGAATGAATTGTATTTTTTCTATTGATTTGTAGGTAGTTTCTCCGAACAGAACAACACCCACAACCTGAGGACATGTCTTGAAATCAGCATGTATGCACCTTAGCACATAAGTTGATGATTTTTTAAAAGTACTTTCTCTGTAGCTAAGCACAGCACCTGTTCTCCATGAAAGACTGCAAACTTGTCCTGACAATCATTTTTTTATATCCAAAACTGACCAGCAGCATTTGATTTCTTACTGGATGCCAGAAGTAGTATGAAGGAAACATGATTTACTCCCATGTATTAACATAGTATACTAAGTATCATACTATCTACACATAATTTCCATTGGTGGTGATGCGTTTCAGCCACCAGATGGTGCAGATGCTTAAAAGATTAGTTAGATCTGTGAGTTCACAATGGAGTTTCCAGAATCCGATTATTCATAAAACCCTGCAGGCAAACAAAGAAGTATATTTTACCATGAATTGAATCAAAATGTCATCTTTGTGTCCAGAAACTTACATGATTATGCTGACAATAGTTAATTATTCCTATACCTTCCTGTTGTCCTCGGTTCAAATTTGACCCATTAAAAATGTGTTTAACTCTGGATAAAGGTTTATTTTAGTGCCAGAAAAATAACATGTTTGCTCGTAGGCTATACTACGTTTTTTCACGAGAAAGGTATAATGATCACTTTCATTAAGTGCTATATGCTTTATAAAGAGTCAAACCAGGAAGGTACAAGTTGATAGGAAGACAACACAAGGGTTAAAATGCAGGTTGCACAGTTTTGTTTTGAGCTCTAGGAATTATTTTAAACTCCCATAAGATACAAAGCAGTCTTGCAGATTTTCCATGACATTTTTAGTGTTATCTTAGCTTAGTCTTGACTTTTTAATATTTTAAGCAAGTATTTTATAAACTTTACTTAAAAAAAAAAAAGATTCATATTTCTGATAATATTTGTCATCTTGCAGAAACATGTCCAAACCTTAATTTACACTATTCTTATGAATTGGATTTGCGTCATATTCCTCTTCCTCTTCCTTTTTCCAAGGTACAACATGATATTCTCTTGAACTATGGACATATTTTAACATGAAATGGATTGCATCATTCAGGGGAATCTACAAGGAAATTGACAGCAAGCCAGGGGATTAGGCAACATTGGAGAAGTTACTCAACATCACCATGACATCAAAGAGGTGAAGAACAAATATTCCTTTCTGCTATTACGTTCACATGAAACCCCTCACCTTGGTAAACACGTTTCCTTGTTAATGTGAAACATAATCCGTTGCTTTTTCCAGGAGGTGTATGGAGGATTAAAAGGTGAATTGGTGAAACTCAAATCAAAGGTTACCTTGATAGAGAGGTGTGTTGTGGAAGTGAGAACTCAATCTACTTAATCATACTGAGAATCCATTTAAAGCCCACTTCTAAATATCAAGTAGACGTTTCTCATATCAGCCTGTAAATCTGCAATTCTCAAAATTCATCTCACAATCCATCTATTATTTTCTGTATGTTATGTATACATTCATCAGAGATGCCCAAATAAAATCGTATGCGCTTGACTTAATCAAGGTTTTAAATTACTATGAAAGGAGTTGTGCAATCTCGCAAAAGATGCCAACTCAGTAGCTTTCCATAGCCGCAAAAGCTCAGAATCTACTATCAGAAATCCAAATTTCCTGGTGAAACAATTCATGACAGAGAATTGAAAGTGTCTAAAGTCCTGAAGGAAAACTTTGGAATATTCAAAATAAGGCTTTCTTTTACAAAATCTACAATGCATTCGCAATAATGAGTGGAAAAATAGCTGAATGTGAGTAAGCGTCTTAGAATCAGCATGTTATAGAAATGATCATCCTAAAAGAGCAACAATGAGCAACAAAAGGCATTATGGGACTTAAGGACAGGATTGGAATCTACAGTAGATAATGTGTTTTAAGCAATGTGTGACTGGAAGCTGGGAAAAAATAAATAATGAGATTAACTGTTTTACATAAAATAAATGGAAAATAATGCTTATTTAATTAAAACTTTGCATTGAGTTGTAAGAATTGGGCTGGGAGCCTAACGTTAGCCCTTCAGCTAATAATAATAACAATACATTTGATTTAGAGCCGCCTTTCAAAGCACCCAATGACCCCTTACAATTCAGTAAATATACTTAAAAAAGCTTCAAAAGGACAGTAACAGGGAACATGTAGGGAAGCAGGGGACATGTAGCACTACAGTGAGTAGGCTGATCTGAACAGGGACGTGAATGTGGTGATTGTGTCAGACTGTCGGATGTGTGGGGGGAGAGAGTTCCGTAGTTTGGGAGCAGTGCAGCTAAAACCCTGAGCACCCATGGTGACTGGGCGTGGGGTGGGGATGGTTAGCAGGCCAGCAGAGGAAGAGAGGAGGGAGTGAGAAGGGGTGTACTCCTGAAGGAGGTCGGCCAGATAGGTGGGGGCCAGGTCGGGAAGGGCTTTGAATGTGAGCAGGAGATTTTTGTAGTCAATCCGGTACTTTACAGGGAGCAAGTGCAGTTGGATGAGGAGAGTTCTGAATGATTTGGTGTTGATTGAGGAGTTTGCTGGGAAGGCCTGAGAGGATGGTATTACAGTAGTCAATGTTCCCACTTTTTCATCAGCCCTTTAGATATTTAGCTGGCTCCTTTTCATGAACTCCTCCTCCAGTCTTTGATATCTAGCAGGTTTAAATGTATAACGCTTCCACATCCAACAAGGATTACAATAAACTAGCTACATTTCATTTAAAATTCTGCTTCATAAGTGTAGATTTGTACCAAAAGGAGATCACACATTATGACATAATTATGAAGTCCAGAAAGGCCCCTCAGACTAGGCTAAAATAACTAAAACATTTGGTTTTCAACTATTTCTAGAGCAGCCTTGCAGAAAATCTAAAATGAGCTGTTTTGATATGTTTAAGTGTAAACTACGAAAATATCTGTTCAGTCTGGCTTTTATGTTTTATTTTATATTATTATGTATTACTATTTTTACACAGTCGAATATCGTTATGATTTTGCCCTCCTTTTCAGTTTTATCCAGATTTGAGTGTTGATCATGATCTAGGTCCTGTTTTATTCATATTTTTTCTTTAAACATCCTAAGTTTATTCAGAGGCCTGTAAATCACTTTTTAATGCATTTTATTTGTTTGAAAGGTGTTAGATTGTTTGTGGCAGCATATCCTTAAATGGTACAATTCTGTCTGTATTGAATACATTTGGTTCCTATTTCCTTTGCTTTACACTTGCACAATTTGATGGCTAATACAAATCTGAACCATGTGCATGATACAATCCTCAAAATATTTGCACAAAGCACCAACATATTAAGCTGTTATATTGATATTTATTTCAATATGTTTTTGTGGACTGATGCTTACTTTTAGACATGTATTTGTACTACTTCTTACAGAAAGTGCAGCAAACCCATCAGAAACAGTTCACAGGGACCAGATTTTTGGCTTGTTGGTTTGTCAAATATTTGGTTACTGGTTCCATGAACATTTTATGATGCAATGTGAATCTCAGAAAACCTAAAGTGAAACCAAAAACTATTTACAGCTGTGGAAGTATCCAAAGGAGATAAAAAAGATAAACATAGATCATTTCTTAACAGAGTGAAGAGTGTCATCGACAAAGAATGATAGACCTGATCATGATTTAGAAAAAAATTGGCTTTATTTTGAAAAACGTTAACAATCAAAGAGAACAAACAAACAAACAAACAAACATGTGCTGCCTTATTAGTTCTTCAGAGTTAGCTGAGTGAGACACACACTCTTACAAACTTTCACATTTTAAACTTTTATAACTTCAATAATTCTTCTAAAACAGTACTATAAAAACATATTTAAAAAAAATCTAAAATATTTAGTTTTTTTGCCACATAGACATGAATATATAAAATTCCATTTTTAAATAGAGGAAACACTCAGTTATTTGTGTGATCCACCCCTTTCCCTCCTCTTGATGATTGCTGAAGGGGTTGCTCTCAGTTTACACCCTCTTCACTCCAGTGCAGACTTTTTTCTGTGTACACAAATATTCAGATTAAAGTCAATAATGTGTTGAACACTTAACTGAAGTGAGGAAAGGTACAAAACACACAGATTACTTTGACGTCGGTACAACATGACTCAGCGGCTGCGGTTTGTAGCTCACTTGTGTGTTTTTACTATAACCATTACAGATTATAAACTTGAACAAATTATTTTAATTTCATTTTCAATTTCATGTCTTTGAAACTTAAGTCAAATGTTGTGTTGATAATGTTGGCTGGTGTTCTGTAAAATGCTTTAAATTACCACATTTGAAACTCAAACTTTCTAACCATGAAAATCTATTTAAAGGAATAGTTAGAGTTATAAAATATTGGATGAATTGTGTAGAATCACAGTTTGATATTGTATGATCAAGTGTGGACATGCAGGTTTGTCAGCTTTTTAAACAGACAAACAAAAGCAATGGAACAGATCAGATTTGCTGATAAGTAATTGAAATAGTAATGTGATTTTCAATGAGGAATGTGTAACGAACAATTTTCAACTAACTTGCATTGGCACACATACATTTTTTTCTTGCATTGAGGTTACAAAAATACGATGTTTACACCATGTCCTTTCAAAATGTAGAGCTGAAACATATCTAGAGACAAGGTACCTTATATTGTTGTTTCTTGCAGAATTTCTTAAGGGCTTCCACAT